GGCTGCGGGAGGCGACACCCTCCCTGGCTCCCTGCCACTGCCCCGTGTCCCCAGCCCGGCAAGGGGCACCTGGCCCGACTGCCGGCAGGCTGGGAGGGAGCTGCGCTGCACACGGGAAAAGGGCTGTCCAGCCTCACCTGTCCCCCATCCACACCCCTCCATGCCAGCCCCTGCCTGTGCTCAGGATCGATGCTCCCAGAGAAAAGCCACTGTCATCCCACTACCACCACATCCTGTTACAGCCACCCAGACAGGCTGGCCAAGATCTGTCTTTGGCAGAATCCAAAATGGTTTCAGAGAAGACCTCTGGGCCAGTCTAGGCTGAGAGGGGAGATAAAGGGGTCAGTGTATCAGCAGGAGCTTGTTTGTCTGCCGACATTCAGGAACAGAAAAGCCAGTGTGTAGACAGTGTGGTGCCAAACTGATGTTGAGGACAGAGCCCTGTGCTGGAACAAAGCCACCTCCTTCATCGCTCAGTGCTACCATCACCACAGGCAAATTCAGCTTCCCCAAACTGCAGGCAACTCTGCAAGCAGTACAACTCTGCAATCTGCACAGGAGACAAATCCTCCCGCTGATTTGGCCATAAAGCACCATCAGTTCTTAGCCTATGTTTCTTTATTAGATAATGACCTACCCAAGACTGCGTCTTGGGAACATACTGAGTTTCTCACCACAGTGGCAAGTAACCTCTGGGTGTGAGCACATTGGGGCAGGGACTGGCTTGTTGGGATGCTGGTACAGCCACAATGCCAGCTGCAGGAAGCTGCATTAACCACCCTGTCTCTGCTCTGAACGTCCCAAGTTTTACATGTCCAGCAGTGGTGGTCAATGCCCAAGGCATCAGCAAGTTCCACACTCATTAGTAACAATTTACAGGACTAGAAATTAAATCTCTGTTTTTCCTGTCCACCACCTTAGCGTTCACACAAGGATTGTTACCAGAACCACAAACACTCTTGTTGCCACACAAGTAGACCGATAAACCCTCAGCAGAAAGCCTCTGTGTGCACACCAGTATGGAAAGATTTCAAAGACAGTTTTGGAAAAGCACTATTACAAGAAGCTTGTGAAGAAAAAGAGGCAACCACTCCATGAACGCGGTGATGTAACATGAACAGACTTTTGCAGGCTATGCCAGAGGCCAGAACTACAGAATGTCATTTTCTATAGTGCTCAGCACCTCTCCTTCATACCAAAGCCCTGAAATTCCTCACAGACCTTGGAGGTCTCCAGAAGGTCCAACTGTGAACAGCCATGTTTTGAATGCTAAGTCACAGGGCCATCTGGAATGGAGGGCCATTTCTAAGCCCTCCTTTCAATGCAGCCTGCCAGCTGCTTTCAGGCTCAGCTAAGCACCCAGCTTCCCCACATTTGCACTGAGAATTACCATATATTGAACACTTGCATGTTGTCCACTGCCTTTCCAGCTCCCCTTGTTATTCCTTATCCCCATCTCTGCCTCTCCATGTCAAAACAGTGACCCACTGTTCATCTGCTCATGACAGAGCAGGGGGACATGCATCCTGTAGTCACAGCACAGCCTTCATCTGCCAAGACAGGAACCCACCCAACATCACTCCAAAGCCTCTGGTTTGTTGTGTGCTCAGAGATTTCAGAGAGGGCTACACCACTAATGAACACCACACCCTTCAACAACTAAACACAACTGCCAGCCAGTCTGGAGACTGAACCAGTCTTTCTCACATTTCTGATGTCAACTTCAAAGAATACTATAAATCATTCTTTTTTTCTCATTTTCAGTTTCCCTTACTCAACTGAGTTCAGCCCTTAGCTTGGTCCCCTCACATACACCCTTACACAGACTGGCTTACCTTGGCAGTAACACTGTCTCAGGAGTCACGGCTTAATGTGTCCCAGGCGAGGGTCTGTTTGTTACCTGTAAAAAGAGAGATACCTTGTTAATTCTAGTGGACAGCAAGGATATTTAACACCATACTTCACACTGTGCCTTGGATCAGGCTGCAAACACCCCAAAGAAGGCAGAGCTGTATCTGCCAGGGGTTTCTGACCTGTAGTGTGCAGACCACAAAGGGCTGTGCACTGCTCTGAGGATGCTGGGAGGGTGTAATGGAGCAAAGCAAGCAAGCCAGCCAGAAGCAGATCCATTAAAAGAGACACAAGACCCAGTGTTCTAGAAGACTCCACAGAGAACTACTGCAAAGTACAGGAGTACACTCATGTACAGTTGCTTTGTGCAGGAACTCTGACAGCTCCACTGCACATCATCTCACCTGTCTCAGAAATGTTCCCCTGCAAAAGAGACCAGCTTTTCTGCTCGTGTAAGGGGGCATCACTCAGTTGAAGACAGGGAAGACATTAGACTTACACCAGCAAAAAGTCTGGTACAATCTGGTTTTCCTGTGCTGAGACAATGGCCAACTGACGTTTTTAAGATAACAGCACTAAGCCAACTGAACTGCCAAGACTTAAAATATTCTGCTACCTTCCAGGTGGTACAAAAATTTCCAAGAAATGAGAGAGAGGGAGAGGAACAAGTAAGAAACCAGAAAGCACCCCTGGGCTAAGAATTTGGGTGCTATCAACATGAATATTTACAGCTATATTATTTATAAAGCCCTTGCAGACAGGATAACGGGAATGCAAATGCATCTTAGCGGTACAGCTCCAGTGGGGGAGTTTAATTACTGCTGTGACATCCACTGCTGCATGCCCAGCCATGCCATCCTCTTGGCAGCATTCTTCATCTGTTCCCATTACAGTTGGCGTAGGATGCTCCAGTTTCCTGAAGCCTCATGGTTAAGGAAGATACTGGCATAATGCATTGGTACACTCCTGGCCCACATCCAGCTGTGTCTGTGGTTGTCTGTCCTTCAGGAGCCACTGCTTGGGTTCCTTGGTTGCTTATGGGCATCATGTGTGTACACTCAGTGATGGGGTTGCAGAGAATTTGATTTACTCTCCCTTTCTTCACCAGACCTGTAGGCAGGGTCTTTGGTATTGCACTCTCTGCTCAATTCAAGCATATCCAGGGCAAGAGAGAGTGGATACAGCGCTGGCTTTGGTTGCTGCTTAGGATTAAGATCCCACACCTCTGCCAGCTATGGCTCCATTTCTCAGTGGTGGTGTATGTGCATACATCCAGCTTTTTTTTTCTTTTAAGCTCTCAGTGCATCTTTCACTGGGCGATGCCTGAAGCACACGTTCAGTGGAGCAGCACGAACATATGGGGCACCCATTTGCTTATTCATTTCTCCTGGCAGCAACATACAGAATGGGCAGAGAGGACTTCTTTCCTCCCTCAGCTGAGCCCTCTTTGTCAACTGAATCAAACACAGCACTGTCCCTATTAGGGAGCTTTTTCTGTTCTACATTTCTACTCCCTGCCCTCAGGGTATTTTCATGTCAGTATGCAATATCTCCTTTTTAGATGCTTCCTATTTTTTTTTTCCCACCTCCTGATTGTAAGAGTTGTGTCATATATGAGATCTTAGCTTTCCTCTTATCAAGAAACAGCATAGTTCTTTGCAGTATCACCCATCCACCCCCTGGGGAGGCTTTTTGTTCCCAATGATGCTGAGATTTCTTCCAGCATGTCCAGAGGTGTCCCATATCATGATCCCTGCAGGTAAGTTGTATGGACCACAGCTGTTCAGCAAGCTCTAAGAGTACATTTTACACCCAAAAGGTTAGAAAAAGCTGAGAAATTCAAAGCACAGCTAAACTCATACTGATGGGCAGGACTGCTGACTGAAGTCAGCCAGCCACTCTCTGGGCATATGGCAGTATCTAGGTACCTGCTAAGAGTTTGATTCTTCCAGAAAAGCTGAGATTGGTGAAGCAGGTTTAGAACCAGCTTTCCTGCTCAGCTCCTTCAGCAGATTCACACATGGAAGCTTGACAAAACTGCGTTTCTCTAGAGCTAATTCTCTTGGCTCCAGCCTGCCTGGAAATTTTATCAGTCTCACCTTCCTGTGGTCAGAGGAAACAAGGTGGTCAGTCCCCAGGCTGACTAGCTCAACTTAAAACCGCATCTCCTTCAGCTTTCTGGCCATCCACATCCCCCATCACAGCAGTGCTGGGTCAGACACAGCTGCTTAACCTTTGTTGGATAGTTTCCTGTATTGAGCAACCAGCTGACACCTCCTGGTTGTAGTTCCAATAGAGCCCATCTGTTTGACTATTTTTCTTGTAGGACCTGGGACTGGAAGGAACATTCCTCAATGAAGTTCTCTACAAAAATGCAACTTTTCTCAACTTGGTGGATCCTATCTCCCATGACTTGCTGATGAGCCTTGCTAGAGATCTGCAGTGTCCCAAAAAGGTGAACCCTTCACTTAGTTCAATGGACATTTTGCAACATAGCACTGATGCAAACGGAGTGCTAATGGGGTGACTGGTGCTGGGTGGTGCTCTGCAGTCCTTCAGCACCAGCCAGAGTATGGCCTTGGAGAGGTAGCATATAGAATGTTGTACAAATTTCTGCAGAAGACAGTTAAAACTACTGCAAAACATGAATGGAGCTGGAGGAGGGAGCAGCTATGTGCACAGAAGGGATTTATTTTTTCCACCAACAGTAAACTTGGTGACAGGGTACAGGCCAGATAAAAATACAAAGCAGATGATGGTGCCATTTTTACTGGTATGCCCCAGGGGTTCAAAGCAGCTGGTATACAGGCTGCAGAGGGGAACTGACATCTCTGAACCTCTGCCCAGGCTGGTGCCTCTGCAGAGAACAAGAGACCCTTTCCCCAATCTAACTACCCTAACCTGGCATTATGCTTCTTCTGTAACCTCCCAGATCTGAGTTTTGAATGCTGCTGAAGGAATATATTGCAACTAAGGGTTCAAGAAGCAAATGTGTTAGGTGCACAGTAACCCTGCACTGCTCTAGCACTTCCCTTTGGAGAATGAGGAGAGCAGAGACAAAGAAATGCAAAGCTGAGTGCAGGCAAACATGACAGTCCCACTGCAACATCAGCATCTACTTCTGTTACACTTTACCACCACAAACACTTGGATTTGCAATACATCTATTTGCTCATCAGGTTTGGCAGGTGTTGTATTTGCCTTATAAGGAGAGCAAAAGATAATTTATTTATTAAAAGAGGAGTATTGAGTACACAGGGCTCAGAGCAAACAGCAGCACCCTGGGGACTTCAGTGAATGCCTGGTGTAGATTAGTGGCATTTCTAACTGTGTTCTGCCATCTCCTGAGATTAAGAACAATTAACCAGTCAGGTCTCAGTACCCAAACTCATTTAGCCTAAGTTTAATTATCACTCAGCTGCAACATGGCTTGAAAAAAAAATCTTATTTTCAGGTAATTTTTTAAAAAGTTTTCTAAACATCTAAAAAGGAAGGGAGCAGGTACCTCTTAACCTTACTTCACTTGGCTTCATCTCCAGCTGTTCTACCAGACCATCTCCAACACTGACATCTGTAGCATTGCATAGATAAGATTTTCCCCTTTCCTAAGGAAGATGTTGAATACCTGAGCTGCCCCTCAAAGCCAGGAGTTTAATTAAGGGGTTGGAGGGACACAGCACCAGCACCCTTCCCAGCACAAACCCCTGTCCAGCCCTGACTGAGCATCTGATGGGTGTTAACTGCATTACAAGCCAGTAGGCTGAGTGCAATTCCCAGCATATATGGGGAAATTAAATCAGTGAGGACATGGGAAGAAAGAGGAGGATAATTCTCAGCTGTGAGCCAACAAATGCTTACAGAACATTGTGCCAGCTTCTGTGCCGAAGCCTGGTCTGCAAGTGCACTCACTTGGAAAGGTTTGCTGCTACAGGTGACAGCAGGGTGCCAGTTGCAGCCTTGCCAGCACAAAGTCTACAACAGGGCACATAAGCCAAATGAAAGAACCAGTCCCTGGAAGGTTCCTAGGGGAGCTAGGACAGCGATCAGGGGGTGGTCAGTTGAGAACTGAGGCTGGGATCCCCCTCCATTTGGCACAGCAGACTAGCCACACGTTGGCAGAGCATCCCTGGGGAGTGCAGCTGATTCACTAACTGCTTAGGGAAGCCACAGTGCAGCTATTGGCCCACAGCACTTCCACCACTTGCAATAAAGAATAAATTAGCATATTTGACAGCTTTACTATGTGTTTACATATCAAATCCCTAAATTCACGTTGCACCACAGCTGGAAGACTGAGGAATGGGAATGCC